CTATACGTTTTATAAAATAGCAAATAAGGCCTGCTTTGGAGAAAAATACAAGAGGCTGTAGAACAAACTGTTTTTTTTTTTCCTCAACCGATAGTGTTGATTATCATACAAATCAACACGCCACAAGCCACTAAAATCACACTAGCTATATTCATTAAAATCATCTATATGTATAATTGTATAATGAAGAGTGTCCTTTTGTTTGTCATTCATATAAACCTACACTTTTATTCCGATCTTCATGAAGTTTTCCACACTTTACCTTCAAAAAAGGGGAAGGCCACTGTCTACATAAGATTTCAAAAACCTGTTACCCGGGGTTCCAAATTTGGGGCGTTTATATTATAACAGTGTATTCACGATACTCATCTTACGAGCACATCACCTCCTTACCTTCACATTCCCACTGATTCCCACTATCAGTGCAGGACATACACCGCGGTTAGTTCTACTTTAGTCAACGTTCTCTGTGATGAGAATTTTAAATGACTGATGGGTATTGGGACATTGCCAATGAAGTTGCAAGTGTCCGACCATTTAAAACAATGAATTCTAGGTTTCCTTTGCACTTCTTGGAGGACTGCGTTTCTCAGAAGTGTCCTAATGAGTTTTACGTCAATACGTCATATGAGGTTTTACTCTGAAGCAGCACAACATCTGTTGAATATGGCGGATGAGTCACATATTCTAGCTTAAATGCCTCTAGTCCTCTTGTAACTGGTCTTGCAACAGACGGATGTGCATTGTCTTGTCAGAAAAAAATCTTGAATCTTTCAGCGTATTCTGAACGTTTGTGCTTCTCCTTTTAAACTGATTAATTGTTGTTTGTAACGTTTAGCACTGATATGTATCAAAATCAATGTGTATCAAATCATGCGTATCAAAATCAATCTTCCTAAACCGTTCAAATCAGTCTTTGTATGCTGTATTCGATGGAGCCCATTCACTATATTCGGTGCAGCAAGTTCACTTATTGTTACTTATCTCACTTGGCTAATAATATCAGAGCAAGAACACGAAATTCGTCGTGGCAAGAAGTGCAGGATTGCGACTGTCGTTGGCAACAGCCTTGAGCACCATACAGCTGACAGAACGATTTTGCTCAGTTCCGTCCCTAAGTTTGAAGGAAAGCACCCTGGGGTGGACGGCTACGAGGTTCTCCCACCCCTCTTCCCGTACGCGTAATGGCAGACCGCACATTGAGTTGAACAATGTTAAGCAAATTTCGCTTACTGCGCATGCTTGATGGTGTACCTTTGGCGCAAGGAGAAATATTGGCGATTAAGCAACCCTACGCTAGCTTATTCGTGATCACCATGGCTGTCTGGTGTGTTCGAATGATGTTTACAACTGTAATGTTGTGGAACTTTGCTTATTAGTTATTTTAACGTCCATACCGATTGCACTTGCTTATTTTTTCTAATATATATTTCATTGTAATTTGTCAATAACAGTGCATTTAATATTTATTAACATATGTTCGTAATAATTCGTTATTTAATGAATTTTTACATGTTATAATTCAGTAATTGTAAACTGGAGTATCTCGCTTAGTTTGTTAGCGTATTCGCGCTTTTATTTCTCATTTCAAAGATTTTATAACTAGCATTAAGGAATTGTAAATTTCTTCAGTTATTTGCAGCACTTGTATTTCCTCAGTGTTCTTTATGTATGTACGAATGGAACGTATGGTAAATCCTGAATTGTTTTTATTGCTTAAAAGTATAATGAATATTTTTCCAACTAATATATCCTAAATTTCAGTCTTTTTTTTGAACGAAAATTTTACAGTTCCAAGAAATGTGCAGAATTTCATAGTATTCTATTTTTATTTTGAATGCAACACTGCTTCACTTGCTTCGCAATAATTTCAGCTTTCTAGTTGTTTGAGCAGTACAGCAAAAAATAGTATTTTACACGGTATTAATTTACATTTACATTATACTTACGAGATTAAACGCCAGATTGTTACATCATGCGGTACATCTACCATATACCGTATTTATCTTCTTTTCAAATCGCGCCAACATAGTAATTACGCTAAATTGTTTTCTGGGCATGCGCAGTATGCGACATTCGTTTAACACTGTTCAACTCAATGTGCGGTCTACCATTACGCTTCCCGTACCACAACTTCTTGAGAGGACTTTCGGCTCGCCGCATACTTAGAGTGCTCCCATGCCGCACAGACACTATACGTTTACAAACATCCATGCCCTTTTTCGGGATTCAAACCCAGGCCTCTCGGAACAACAAAATGCTCTTTTATCTCACAAAACTCGAGATTTTTAATGAGTAGAAATAATTACTGTTAACATTTTAAAACAGATACCACATTCTAATTTAGAAGACTGCTGCCAAATCTTTCAAACAAAAGTGCACTTACGTTCAGTTGCATTCAAGCGCTTCTACTAATAACAATCATTACAAGAGTCAGAATCATTTTTGCATTCAATAATAGAAGGACGACGGCCCATATTAAAATCATAGGACCAAAAGAAGTTTAAACATTTAAAGGTTAAAATCACGTAAACTCAGGAAAATAATCTGGAAACGTTTCTTTCATTTTCTTTTACTTACAATGTACTCTCATCTCGTCTAAATCAGATAGTTCGAAATTTGAATTAATTCCAAGAAATTTTTAATATAAAAACTCAAAACAATTTCCAGCGTATTTTCAACAATGCAAACAATTCTGATAATTTCTACGTCTTTGGATTAAATGGAGGTTACTGCTTTTATTAAATATAACGATAAGTTTTATACTAATAAGTGAATTAACAATAATACATAGTTATTAAATACAGTAAAACTCGCTTATTATGAGCCCTGATTTAATTAGAGCTCGGATTTAACGAGGAAATCGATAATACGTGATTGGTACAATGTTAAGTCTATGGGAGCATAACTCGCTTTTAACGAGCAAATCCCGGTTATAGCTAATCCTTTCTCGGAAAAATTTCTTTCACATTCCGAAGTCAACCGAAAGTTAGTGATGAGTCACGAATCCTGGGAAAACTTGAAGGCAGCCTTTTTTATCTTGAGCGTGATCATGATTGAATTTTTACGACCGAATTTAACATGTGCTATCTTGTTCGCTGACCAATGGATCATCAGAAGATTTAAATCAAACTTTTGTAAGCACTTGATTTGGATGCTTTCTGATAGAAGAGATAAAATAAGAACAACCTCAAATAGTAGTGTAAATGTACTCGAAGCGATACCATTAATGAACGACGCATGGGAAAAAGGTTACATCAACATACATTATTAGTTGCTTTCTTAAGGCTGAATTGGACATTTCTCAAGAAAGGGCAAAACACTGAGAAAGAAGAAGAAGTAAACGGCATGGAAAATTTGAAAATGAGTAGAGAAGAATTTCAAAATTATGTATCTGTTGACGCCAATGTTAAATCACTTACGAGATACCTACTCCCAAAGATACTCTACCTGAAATACTAGCTAAAGCGGATGGAAAAATAATGAAAGCAATGGGTGATAACGACGAATGTGAAGAATTTCAAGCTGAATCGCTTCTAGTATGCTCAATTGCTTTTGAGTGCGCATGAAAACTTCCAAAGCCAGAGGTGCACATGACAATGTTTTTTGGGCATTGATTCTTCTCCGAAGAACAGTAACACAAGAAAAAGGCAATAAAGCAGTTGAAAACAAATAAATCAACTTTTTGTACTATTTAGAAAGAAAAAATGACTAAAGTACCAAATATTCCGGCGTATAACAAAAAATAAGATCGAAATTTTTTTTTGGGGGGTGGCGTTACATGCCGGTTATAAAAACGACAGATTTAAAAATAGGAATGAGCATAAAAATAGATCTCTATTACCTAAATGCTGTTTATTTAAAAGAAATGAGATACCGTATTAATTTTGAATTTTTTATTATCGGATGATATCCGAAGTTTGTCATCTTCGACTTCCGTTATATCTTCAGGCACAGTATGGATTTCTGTTTCATCTTCACCATCATTGTTACTCTGATCCTTATATAGTCATTATCATCCCTTCCGTCTTTCACCAACACCAAACACGCTTGCTGCAGCCCGATTTACATTTTCTTTCGCAAAATCATTTGAAACCAACACTGTTTGTTTCTGTTCGCGGGAACAGTATTTACTACTAAAAGGAACAATACATCAACTATAAATCAACTAAAGCAAATGCGATTGCCTTCTATTTTCACTTTCAAAATCACGGCTTCAAGTGACTGTAGAAAGAGAAAACATCTAACTCGTTAATTCCACGAATTCATTCAGGTTGAAAGTGCATTCCTACTACATTTTCTCAAAACCTTGCAACAGCATTCTTTTGAACATCTGTATTGAATACAATCCACCCTCTTTGCAGGAATATTTACTTCCTCAAGCATTTAACTCACACACATATTGTTCCCCTTATGGCTTGGCATTTCCGTACCATTGTTCCAGTGCCATTGCTCGAAAGGCTATGACAAGTACCTTTTAGCTTTCTTCGTGAAGAAATGGGTGCGCGTTGTACGGCGAATATACCTAAAAACTGAAATGTATAGCTTGAAATTATTGATCCGCGTTATACACGGGTGCGTGTTATACGTCGGAAAATACGGTATATATTTTAAGTATCCATGAAATTTTATAATTTTCTTCCACGGCTCCATTTTCTACGAGCACTCTGTTATAACGCGCAAATATCGCGGTCCCTTCACGCTCGTTATAGCCGAGTTCGATTGAACTTTATATTTCCATGTAAACTATTAATGTACTAGTTTTCTGCTTTGCATATTATTTGAAATGCACCATTTGTATAAAAGATCTTATACGAAGGAAGTGACATTCTGACACACGCTAAGAAATAAGGAATAGAGCAGCAAACGTAAGGTAACAGTGAATCATAAGAGCTGTTATTTAGACATGAGGGAGTGTACTGCTTTCTTTTCACTTTTAACCACAAATTGGGGGATTTGTTATGAAAAATGATTCACTGCGGTTTTTCAGAAGTACTTACCGCCTCCACATGATACAGAACAGGGCGAAAAGGGCGTTTTTCCCCAAACATACACAGGGCGACGGCAGGTTGAACCATCTCCTCCACACACTCCACATTCATCTACTTTCTTCTCCGAACCCAACTGTAAGTCACAGCCAACAGCCTACAAAATTAAATTTGTAAAAAAATGTCAGACGGTCAGTACTATAAAAAAAAATTACAATTATAATTTATCAGATTTAAAAGAATTTCATTTTAATAAATGAAATAACTCAAAATAAAACTTCTGTACTTTTACTAAAATTAGTTGTATGGTTGTAACTGATTGCGATTTTATTAAATTAATATCTTCATGATTACTTTAAGTAAATGTATCAAAATATTTAATTTTCGGTTCCAGTTTGAATTAAATTAAGCTTCTGAAATACTTAAAATGAAGTACTGTGTGTATAATGTTTTACTTCTGTTAATGTCTACATATGCAAAAAAACGATTCAAGGCAATAAAAGAAGTATATAATTTACAAATTAAGTTGCTTCAACATTGTTATGTGTCTGTGACCAAATATGCAAAAAATTTTAATTCTAGCAATTTTTATAAAGTACCTTGTGTATCTCACCCGTATTCAGATACAGTAGAAAGAAAAGGTACTAACTCCGAACTCTATAAATCCTTTAAAGAAATAGATACAGTAAAATATATAAGGATTCAGATATAATTAAATGAGCAGGACACCTGTGCAGAATATATGAAAATCGAGCAACTAAAAAGATCTTCTCGGCCAGACCATTTGGCACCCGAAAAAGAGGGAGACCTAATCTTAGGCGGCTCGACTGTTTGGAACTTAAAAATTTTTAAAATAACAAATTGGATGTGCAAGGCCAGGTATAGAAGAGATTGGAATTCGATTCTGAGGAAGGCAAGGGGCTGTCTGGCCGTTGAAGAAAAAGAAGAAGGAAAAGGTATAGCAAATATAGAAAGAAAAGGTATACCTTTTCTAGAAATAAAAAGACTTCTGTATAAATTATTTGCTATTTTTAAGAGTCTAACTTCTCCCAATTTAATAAAATTATAAACCTCATGTTTCTGGACTTTTCGGAATAAAAAGTGACTCACCAAGCATTTACCATCCACACACATATCCAAGGATCCTTCCCGACACCTGGTTCCGTCTCGAACACTTGGCGCCAACTTCGCGACGAAACTATAGCTCCTGGCGTGGCAGGTAAGACTGCAAGGATCCTCAGGATCTTGGTAAGGAAGCCATTTATACAGGCGACCGCGGTATGGGACGCTATTGTAAGATGCACATTGAGTCGCACGGAAATCCTGAGGATTTGGACATGGCTAAAAAAAAATAAATAAATAAATAAAATAAAAATAAAAAAAACAGCATGTTAGTAGTTTAGCTACTAAATCATTTGATTAAATTCACACAATTTAAGAACGATACTTGTCGAAAGAAGGAAGAATTTTTCCTTCTAATGATGATATGTCACATACGTAACATTAATATGAAATTCATGCACTTTTAAACGGATACATATGAAAAAAAGAATTCTCTATATTAATGGTACAATATGAAAAAAATACATTTGCGAAATAAAGAACAAAAAAAAAAATTGAAAAGTTTTCAGATTTTAAATTACGTCCAAATGGGCGTTTATTTAACCTTTATTTTATTAAACATCATGCTCTTCGCACTTAAACCATAAAATTCAGTTCAACAGTAATATCGCAAAATAATTTTAAAATGAGCATATCTTTAGAATTTCGGATACACAGTTTCGTGCCCTGGAGATAAAAATGTTTTTTTCTGTACAACGTTGCCATTGCTCGCTTTGATATCCTTGAATTTGTTAATCAGAAATTTGTTAAAGTTTTACAAAATATGAAATCGATAATAAGCAAATTACAAATTAGGGCTACAAGATGCCTATATTCGGTTAAAGATTGCGTTACTGAAAATTTGATGGCTCTAGATACCGTTGTTTTATACGTACCTTTACGCAGATTCTTCATTATTTAATTTTTTTAATATAATACTGGGTGATAATATTTGGTGGCAACAATTTGAAAAGTGAAACAACGCAGAAAGTGAATCAAAGCAAAATAGCAAAACGAAATTAATTGTCCTTCTGGGTAAATTGCCTCTTTGGACTAGAATTTCATGGAGCATTAAAGACGAATAAAATGTAAACAAGCACAATTTCTATGGCTGTGTTAAATAAAAACCACCGGTGTAACTCTTATGGTTGGTTCCAATGGACTTATAAGTAAAATTTTTACACTTTTATATACATTATCAATTAGTTAGTCGTGAAGCAATTTAAATTTTATTTGAAGATAAATTGCTCTCAATATTTTCATTAAAATGGTGAGGGTAACTAAATGCGCATATTATATGACATTGCGTAAAAACAAAATGCCCGGACTTCTGGCAAACATGTACATACCAGTTACAGAGAAGATTTATATCGTTAAAAATCTGCACAAATGAAAATGAACTTCGAAAAGGGTTTTCCATTCACAATTCCTTGTACAAGAATTGCTTGCACCTGAGATAACAATAACAGCGAGATCACGCAACATAACCACGCGATTTTCGAAATCTTGTTACCTTGTTAAATGGCATAATTGTATTCATAACACGTTACTACTGTTACCGGTTCGCTAAAACAAATATGAGGAATATTTTTGTTGAGTTCGTTTCCCTTTTGATACGATAATAAATTAATCAAGGGCTTAAAAAGAAAACAATTATTCAAAGGCTTGAAATCTGTATGCTTACCCATCACAATAAGAAAAGCTACACGCAAATAATGTTATTGAAATTACTTATTTGAAAATTAAAGTTACTTCATAAACCCCTCAAGAGCAACATACAATAAAATATCTTTTAAAATCAATATATGAAACAACAGAAAATAACATAAAGCTGCAGATTTTTCTGAACATGACAAGGATCGTCAGCGGGCGAGTGCTACAGTCGCTAAATCCTGGTAGTTTTGACCTGGGTCTGATTTCAGGTGAACCAGCTGGCTGTATGGGCGTTTTCGTGAGTTTCTTCTTGTATAACGTGGATACGAGTAGGTTTACCTTAGAATGTCCTCCACGAATGTGTGTGTGTGTGTGATTATGGCAAAGCCTCGAGGGCTATCTGCCTAAGAGGAGGGATGCCTTCGTGGAGGACTTTCTAAGGGAAACTGGCTCGTATACACGTTACACATGGGGAAAACCAGGAAAACGCCCATGCAGCCAGCGAGTTCGCGGGATTCGAACCTCGAACCGAACTACCAGTGTTCAGCGACTTTACCGCTCGGCCGCTGGTGGGCCCTCCACGAATGTTAGAGGGATAGCCGTGGTGTGCGTTGCTGTAACCAGGTAAACCAAACGAAACCTAAACCCTGAATCCTTAGGCGTTCGTTTATAATTCGACTTCACAAAAAGATGTATAAATTATATGTGAAATAAATGTATAAATTATGTTATAAATTATACGCAGATGTGTAAATTATATGTGAAATAAAAAAAACACATTTTATTTTATTTCACATATAATTTATACATCCACGTTCCCAAAATGCATTACACTATCTTGGAAAGTTTGAAAATATATCAGCGAAATTTTAAGGTAATAAAACACTTCATGCAAATATGTTTACAAATAGAGAAGAAAGTTCAGCAACACAAAACTACTTGAATATTGTTTTAAATCAAATTGCCAGCGAGAACGCTAACTTGTCTTTTTTTTAGTTCTTCAAAGTAACGGCAAACGTCGCTTCCCATTTTCATTTAAACTTTATGCGAAATATTAATATCTTTTTTTTTTTTCCTCTGAAACTCGAAAAACTGATGGGTGCTAGGTGATTTATCCAGTTTTAAAGTCACGTTCCTCAAATGTCAGAATTAGCAATATGTGCTAAAGTATAAGGTATTTCTCCCGCCTTCTTAGCAAGCCTTCGTGGTGCAGTGGTCTGCACACTCAGAGCGTAATTGAGAGGTTCACGGTTTGACTCCCGGCGAAGGCGTTGCATATTTTTCATCTTGCCTGCTTCCAAAAAATACCTAATGACTCTACAAATGTACTTAAAAAATTATGAACATATAACACATCCGATGTCTATAGTTTTCTGCATTTATGACTTATTGACTTAGGTTAATGTTTATTTAAAAAATATATGCACCTTGTGCACAAAAGTCCGTCATAGACATCCAATTACGAAAATATTTTAAATGACGCAAATATTCATGTTTTAATATTTTAAAATGTAAAAACATAAGTTTTGTAAAATATATATATATATATAACTAAAGCAGGTTTACAAAAATTTATTCTTTCCTTTTAAAATGCGAAAACATTAATTTTTGCATCATTTAAAACAGTTCTGTACTCGGAAGTATAGCTTTACGCCCAACGGTTTGCGAAAATAAAAGGTGAATAAGGATGTTTGTGGATACGGTATATAAAACATTCGACATCTACAGTTTCCTGCGTCTTTTGACTTCAAGAGTTAAACAAATATATTTAAACAAATTAGATTGTGTAACCTGTTTCAAAATTCGAAATTCATAGCCTTTGGAAATTGCATCAAAGGAATTCATTTATTGCGTCTGATTCTCCATTTTACTACTTGTTCTGTCAAGGTATCTCGCTGAAAATTTGCATTTTATGAGAGATATACAAATGGAAAAGAAATTCTATTTTGAATATTATTCCTCCCACCGACGTACGTATTTCTAAATTTGATAAAAAATATTTTTCAAAAATATAATACAACTATTATGCTGATAGTTTGTAGAGACATTAGGATTTTTTAGAAAGCAGGAGAAATGAAAAATTAGCAACAGCCTTCGCCAGGAATCGAACCACGGACCTCTGGAATACCGGCCCAGCGTGCAGAACCACTGCACTACGAAGGCACGCTAGAAAAGTGGGAGAAGTACCTTATATAATCCCCTTTTTAAAGGGCGAGTGCGGTTTTTAGGGAAACCAATCGCCAAATCCTGGGTGTGGAGAATCATCATCCACGACCCTTTTAGCTCGGGCGTCACTGTAGAGACATTAGATTCATTGGAAAAGCCAGAGAGATGAAAAATTAACAACCGTCTTCGCCAGGAATTGAACCCCGGGCCTCTGGAATACCGGCCCAGTGTTCAGAACACCACGAAGGCAAGCTAGGAAAGTGGGAGAAATACCTTATAAGTTTTTCCAAAATGATTTTGTAGTTCTTTCATTTAAATTAAATGGAATGGTGCGAAATAAAATTGGCTTCAGAAAACTCTTCTTAATCGAGTCCTTCATTTTTAATAAGCATTAAAATGCAAAATAACGACTACGATTGATTCGTAAACGGTGACAAACACCGTGCTTGCTTACAAGTAAAGACGACATAATTTTAACAAATTGTCAATTAGCGTAGAACTACATATAGCACCTAACAGCATTTAACAAACAAACAAACAAACAAAAAAAAAAAAATTGAAACTTTCATATTTTATATTACGCCCAAGCGGGAGTCTTTTTCATTTACACATACATACACGTTTCGAGAGCATTTCAGTTCAAAATATTTAAAATCAGCATATCTTTATAGTTTTTAAAAGACAGTCTCTCGCACTGGAGATAAAAATATTTTATTCTCCACAGTGTATTGCCACTGTTCTTAATCAAAAATGCATTTAAGTTTTACAAAATATGAAACACATAATAAAACAAGTTCGAAATTCGAGCTTCCAGGTACCCATATTCGGGTGGAGGATTATGTTATTCAAAATGTGATGGCCCTAGGTACCGTTGTTTTTCCATAATAGGAGAATAATACAGACATTCATGCAGATTCTTCTTTATTTAATTTCTTTAAATATAATACAAGGCGATAACATTTGGTGGCAACAATTTGAAAAATGATACAGCCATTTGCAAAATGCCGTTTCGAGACTAATGTAATAGCTAATGGCTAACTCTCTATTTTGCTAAAACATTATAGACTGAGATATTAATAAGTTCTTTATTCAACCTTCCGAATCTCTCATAATTGCTTACAATTGCGCCACAAAAGCACATGGTAAAGAAAGATAAACTTCCTTACAACTCTGTGAAAATAATACTTATGAGATGGAAAGTAAAAACGTATTACTTAACAACTAGTATTTACTGGAAAATAAAACTACGTATTAATTTCTTTTACTTCTGCATTATTAAGATATTACAAATAAAGGAAAACTGTTGAACAAGTAATCGAAAAACATTAAAGTGAAACTTCATAAACTCAATTCTAGTTTAATTACATTAAATTTCCTTAACGTAATTTTTTTCCAGTTGTCATAGTATAATATAAACATCC